ATCATCATCATCATCATCATCATCATCATCATCATCATCATCATCATTATTATCATCATCATCATGACCATCATTATCGTCAGTATGACGACCATTTTTATCATCATCATATCCATTATTATGACCATCAACAACATCAAAATCACTATCCTAATCTTTGTCGTAATTATTATCATCATTTTAATTATGATCCTCTTCATTATCATCATTATCATTATCATCACCATTATTATCATGATCAGATTGGCATCATCATGACCATCATCATCACCAGTATCATGACCGTCTCGAACATCATTAACATTATCATTAAGACAATTAACATCATTAGCTTCATCATCCTTATAACTGTCGTATTTTATATTATTTTTACCATTTTAATAATCTCTATTATCGTTATTGTCATCATTATTATTACAGTCATTATCATTATGATCAGATTGTCATCGACATCATTATCATTATCATTATTATTATCCCNATCATTAGCTTCATCATCCTTATAACTGTCGTATTTTATATTATTTTTACCATTTTAATAATCTCTATTATCGTTATTGTCATCATTATTATTACAGTCATTATCATTATGATCAGATTGTCATCGACATCATTATCATTATCATTATTATTATCCCCATTATCACCACCATCATAGTTGTCAACATCATCTTTTTCGTATTTATCATTATCATTATCATTATCATCATCATCATTATCATTATCATCCTAATCATCATTAACATCATTATTATCATCATCATAAACAACCCTATCATTATTATCATCAGCATCATCATAAGAATCGACATTACCATCATCATCATAATCATCATTATCATCATCATTATCATCATCATGATTATCATCGACATTATCATTATTATCATCGCCATCGTGATTAGGATAGTGATGATGATAATAACGATATCTAAATTAATAATGATAAGTTTGGTCATAATAATAATAATGTTAATAATTATTATAATGGTAATATTAATAAGGATAATTATAATAATAGTGATGTCGACGACGATGATTGTAATGATAATGATGATGATAATGATGATGATAATAATGATGATGATGATGATGACAATGATAATGATAAAAATGATGATGATGATAGGGATAAGGTCGATAATAATGATAATTATATTGATAAACATAACAATTATGAAGGTAATTATGATAATTATAAAAATAATAATAATAAAAAAGATGATAATGATGATTATGATGATGAAGATGATAATGATGTTGATAATGATTTTAACAATGATAATAATAATTGTAAGGATAACAATTATTTTATCAATAACTATCAAAACAAAAATGAGGATAATAATTATAATAACAATAACAAAGATAATAATAAAAACAATAATTATGACGATAATAATAACTAAGACGATGTTAATGATAATGTTTATGACGAAGTTGATAATTATAATAATGTCAATTATGATGCTCATTATAATGTTTATAATAATTATCATAGTAACAATGATAATAATAGTAATAATCGTGATAATAATAATCATAATAATAATAAAGACAAAGACGACAATAATAATGATAATAATTGTAATGGCAACGAGGATAATAATTAGCATAATGATATCATGTTAATGAAAATAATAAAAATAAAAATGATAACGATCATGATGATAATCATTATAATCTTGATAATGTTAATGATAATGTGCATAACTATGTTAATAATAATAATGTTGACGATCATGCTTAAAATAATGTAAATAATAATAAATATTATTATGACGATAATGATGGTGATAATGATGAAGATAGTAATATTTATAGTGAGGACGATGATAATAATAATGATAATAATAATAGTGATAACAACGACGATGATAATGATGATGATAGTAATGTTGTTAATGATGATGATGATAATCCTTATAGAAATGTTAAGAAGAATAAGGAGAAAAATGATAAGAGGATGATGATGATAAATTCGAAAATAACGGCAATAATGATTATAATTAAAATTATCATAACGATGTTGAAGATGATGTTTATAAAGATGTTATTAATATTGTTACTGTTAACAATGATAATACTGGTAATTATGATAATGATAATAACAAAAATAGTGCTGACAACGATAAAAATGTTAATGATACTAGTAATAACGACAACGATAATAATAACAATGATATTAATATTAATGATGATAATGATTATGATGATAATGATGATGATAACAATGATAATTCAATAAAAGTAATAATAATGCTTAGAATTGTAATTATAATAAGGACATAAATAGTAATGATAATAAACATGATGATATGAATGATAATGATGGTTTAGATAATATTAAA